GGGGGTATAAGAAAGCATTTCAACAAATGACTTAACTGTTTCTTGAGAGGGCGAATTTTGAAAAGGACTTCTGACCTAACCAACAACATTCATAATAATTACATTAAATGTAGTCAGCGACTCTTCGTGTTTTGGTACACACCCTCTAGTAACTGGGATAATAAGTAAATTGTTTCTACGCTTCAGCAAAGACATTTTATTTGAGTTTTAATAATAGATTTACGGCACTTGCTACACTAACAAGTAATATAAGTACCGAAGATTAGAGGTGTCACTGGAGAAAAACCTACACAGAAAAGAAGGATGTGAGATACAGATGATACTGATGTTTGATGACAAATGAGGAGCAAACCACAAGGGCGCACCCGTCAACTACCCACAGTAATGTTCACTTAAATTGGTGTAGGAATAGACGGCTGTCTCGTCTGAAAAGTAGAAGATCTTGATGCGCAACATTTGTGGGGATGTTCTCTCCGAAAATGTAATTACGTAACGAGTCGTTTTGTACGAACAACAAATACGTGTAGTTTCAGTCCCGTCATTTACTTTCCGTTGTTTGAAACTCCCCACGCCTCTCCATTTCTAGGCAACTATTTTTCTGCTGTTGATGATAATGAGGGTGATGCTGAGGTTAATTGTTATTATCCTAATGATAATGTTTTCATAGAAGTTGTTATGTTTGTTGTCGTTGTAAATGCACTTCTTGCCCAAATGCTACAAACCCGAAAGCGACGATGAAAGCGAAGGGGAAAGCAAAGGTATCAACGCGGTTTTCTAGTCCACTACGTTAATCAATGAACCCAACTAACAATTTGACAAAATGTAAAAGGAACTTGCAGGATAAACTCAAGCTCAAACTCAACTCACCCAATATTTGTAGTCGGTGGTTTCAGAGTAAGTGGACAACTTCTCTGTGAAGTGTTCTGGGCTGTTGCTGAGGCGAACAGACCGACCATGAGCAGCAACAAGGGCAGCAGGAAGCGCCGTGGGTTCACTCCTGCGACAGTCCCGCACTCTTTGACAGACGCCATATTGAAATAACACCAACGGATAAACACACCACACCTCACCACTGCCTACAACCTTTCCAAGGGAGCAAAACTGCGAATTTTTAGAGTATATCTCTCTAACTTCTAGTGTGAAGATACGTCTGAGACACGACACTCGCCCATATTTTGGATACCTTTAATCCTTGTCGTTTGAGCTATAAACATATATGGGAATTTTTCTTAGAAGAATGTCGTCAGTGCTCACACAAAATCAACAGCTGCAAATTTCACCTGTTTTACCGTTATCTGTTCCTTGTAAGTCATGAAAGAGAAGCCATTAGTTCTCGTTGTAATTTGACAACGTTATGTGTCTCATCAGACGAAGTGAGTTCGTTCTTTCTAGTTGGGGAAAGAATCATTTATGATCTGGCTGACACCGCAAAACCTGGAGTTAAACAAAATGAACGTTTCCGACTTTTGATAACTAAACTTTTAATCCATAAATCCTGAGACGCTTGAAATAGCCACAGGTGTTCTGGAGTGCGTGAAACTGAGGAAACAAAAGCAACAAAAATCTGTAGAATTTGTCATAATAATATGACTACGAAATTGAAAATAATGTGGGGAACTTGAGTTCAATCAGCAAAAGTCAAAGGAAAACATCTTTTTTGAGCCACAAGCAAAAACATTTACGATAAAAAGCAAATGCCAACTATGTGTGCCTGCTTTCCAAAATGCTGTTATTCTTTTAAGATAAGATAAGATAAGATAAAATAAGATAAGATAAGATTAGATAAGATACGATAAAATAAGATAGGATCATATAAATATTCATAGTCCAGACCTGTTACATTGGTTTGGTGTTTCACCAGGTATACACACACACACACACACATACACACACACACACACACACACACACACACACACATACACACACACTCATACACACAGGATCATCATCATCATCATCATCATCATCATCATCATCATCATCATCATCATCATCATCATCAATAACACAATGTCAATCAAGACTACCACCACCACTGCCACCAACATAACGACAACAACATCAATAATTACAACAACAAGGACTCAAACAACAATAACAACAACAACAACGACGAAAGCTGCACTATCCTTCCCACATTAACCACGGTTGACAACAACACCAGCAACAGCAACAATATAACCAATAATAATAATAATAACAATAATACTAAAATATTGTCGCGGACGCCAAGTGCTGAATCAGAAATTCATTGATAACATTTTAATCCCCAAATTGAAGCTTTTGTCACTGAGCGCGGCGCCTGTTAAGTCTAGCACACACAGGAAAGTGCACGAACCAGCTTGAAGAACAAAAACACAATGAGGCTGAAAAAAACAAACGAGAAAAGAATTGACATGAAATAGGTTCAAGGTGCGACATCGGAAAGTAGTGTGTTGAAAATTAACTTCATAATATCATGCAGTTTCAGTTCAAAAATCGAATACTCGGCGGCCTAATGAGAGAGAAAAAGGAAGCCTCAGTTTCTCCTTTGGATCTAACGATTTTTTTGTAGCAGTTTTGTTCAAACTTCTGCTTCTGGACGAGTCAGCTATGCACGAGATGCACATACGCTATAATATGTAGCTTTTAAAAATATTTTTTCGAGTAACTTTACTATGTAACGTTCAACGCGGCTGTTGCCAGTGTGTCTTTGCGTTGAGCTATATCAATACATTGCCAATGTTTCTTGCGTTGTCCATATCAATACATTGTGTTAAATTTGAAGAAGGTCAAAACACAATATTGATGGGCTTTTTTTCCAAGTCAAAGTGTCCAATGTCAGGACACGTGTTAATAATTTCTGTTAATAATACACCAGCATCCATTTGAAAATATCGAGAGAGCAAAGGGGATCTAAGTTTTATGTGAACTATGAAAAACATTACGCGATAAATAATTTTTCATACAAACTGATCAAAATTCTTGAAGAACTTAAGCGATGCGGAAGCAAAATGGTGATCATCAATTGCTTAAATGGAAAGGGGAAGAAGTTATGAGAAAGAACTCACAAACGAAATCAATAGCTCATTGAGATTTTCTTTTAAGGAACGGAAAAAGAGAGTACATACAAGCGAACGTGTGAGAGAAAGAGAGACAGAGAGACAGAGACACAGACAGACAGACAGACAGACAAACAGACAGACAGACAGACAGACAGACAGACAGACATCTCTATGAGACACAGAGAGAGGGAGAGAGAGGGAGAGAGAGAGAGAAAGAGAGAGATAGAGAGGCAGAGAGAGAGAGACAGGGACAGGGAGAGAGAGACAGACAGACAGACAGAGAGAGAGAGAGACAGACAGAGAGAGAGAGAGAGAGACAGACAGACAGACAGAGAGAGAGAGAGACA